GTTGACCAGGATGGTCTCGATCTCTTGACCTCGTGATCCACCCGCCTCGGCCTCCCAAAGTGCTGGGATTACAGGCTTGAGCCACCGCGCCCGGCCGAGCTTTCTCTTATAGTCAAAAGTATCTAAGTGAATTTTTGAAAAGTAACTTCTCAGATTCCTTTCTCTGCTCTTCAGACAATTAGTAGATAATTAGGGAGCGTTTTGGGGAGGGGGCATAGGGCCTATCTCCTGATCTCCCTTAGTATTTGCAGAGTGACTTGGCAGGAAGAGGGCCAGGATGGAAGGCGCTAATAGGGCAATAACCTCCCTGTCCAGGGATGTGGAGTCCACAGTCTCCAGGCCCCTCACTGATGCAGGGGTGGAGTGGGACGGCGGGGAGGAAAACGGGAATCACAAGTGGGAAGACGGGATTTGGGGACTCCCTGCAATTGCCCAACCCTGACCTGGCCCTGCTACAGGGCCCCCGGGGTCCTGCCTCCAGCTCACACTCATATCCTTACATCCAAGTCCAACTCTGATGGTATCCGTTAAAACACCAAGATTCTGCTGGAGTTATTTAAGATGGGACCAGCCTGGTTAAGTGAGGGGGACATAGAATCAAGAGCCAGACAGCCCCGAGTTCACATCCACCAGCTAAGGGAACTGGGGCGAGTCACTTTCACCTCACCATGCCTCAGTTTCTCCCTTTGTAAAGCAAGGTTACCAGACCCTCCCTCAAGAGGGGCCGGCGGCCGCTGGCTCAGGGTTTCCCTCTTCCTGCTATTCTGCTCCACAGTGCCCATCCCCTCCAAAGCCCGCAGCCTCTCAGCCCTCTCCTTGGCCAAAGACAGCCTGGTAGGCGGCATCACGAATCCCGGTGAGGTCTTCTGCTCCGTGCCTGGCCGGCTTTCACTGCTCAGCTCAACGTCCAAGTACAAGGTGACGGTGGGGGAGGTGCAGCGGCGACTCTCGCCTCCTGAGTGCCTCAACGCCTCCCTCCTGGGGGGTGTCCTCCGCAGGTAGGAAGGCCAGCCCACGATCCCCTGCCTGGCTGGATCCCTGGCCTCTTCAGGCCTTCTTGGGGTATCTACGAGGAGGCCAGCTTCACCTAGGCCCCCTGCCTCAGTCTCCCTGGGAGGGGATGCCCTGGGGACTCTGGATTATGCATGCTGTGGGGGCTGGCTCAGGTCCCTGGTGGCTGCCACATGTCTGTGGGTTTGGGGTGGGGAGGTGGGCAGAGAAAGAAGCCTGGGCACAGAGAAGGGAGGGAGAACTCACCCACACTAGGCAGGACAAGGCTGGGTCTGGGGAACAGAGAGGGCCATCCTCACCCCCTCTTCCGGGAAAGGGACCCGTGACCCAATACCCATTCCACATGGCAGCATAGGCCCTGTGTGTTTTGGGGTGAGGAGCATGGTGGTCCATGGTTCATCTTCCTAAACCTGTGTCTGTCTGTCTCTCTGCATGTCCTGGTGCCTGGGAAGGGTATCTCTGCTTCAGGGCTGTGAGCTTTGATGAGTCTGAGGATGGTGTGAACATGTGTGTGAGTGTGCATGTGTCTATAGTAGCGGATGGCCAGGAGCATGTTTCCGTGAGTGTATCTTGTGTTTCTTCTAGTAGGATGTCTGGCCTAGAGTGTGTCCTGCTGTGTGTGTGTGTGTGTGTGTGTGTGTGTGTGTGTGTGATTGCCTGTGCATCTGGAGCTAGTCCCATGGATGTTTACACATCTGTACCACTGTGTGGGAGGGGCACTTGTGCAGTCATAGAGGGTATCTCCTTACTCCTGGCATCTTGGAGGATCTCTGTGAGTCCCTGAGTATCTGTACATGTGCTGCTGGGACCCTGACTTGGTGTAATCCTGTGTCTCTGCGTCTCTGGGAGTCTGAGTTTGTGTCTCTGCATATGTCTGTCTCTATTGGTTCTACAGGTCTTTATTCTTTCACCTGTGTGTGTGTGTGTGTGTGTGTGTGTGGTGAGCCCCCAGGTGGCTGTGTACCTGTGTCTCCCTGTGTGTCTCCCTTTCTGTATGTCACCACGTGTCTCTACATATAGGTCTACGTATCCCTGGGTAGCTGTGTGTGCCCATCTGGTGTGCTAAGGACTCCAGGATGCCCCACCCTGTGCTGCCACTGCTGTGGAGAGGACTAGGGAGAACTGAGGGCTCCTGGAGCTGGGTGCTGGGCTCTCCACCCCTGTCTTGGCTGCAAAACCATTAAAGTTAAGAAGAGGTTGTGCCCTTGCTGAAAGAGACCCCAGAGCATCCACAGGACCAGACCCAAAACTCAACAAGGGCCGGTGGGGACAACAAGGCCCTTTGGGGGTCACTTAGCCTCCATACTTTTTTCTTGTCTTCAGAGTTGTATGTCTGTCTCTCCCTGTGCATGTCAAGGGCCAAGTCCAAAAATGGGGGCCGGTGTTTGCGGGAACGGTTAGAGAAGATTGGGCTCAACCTGCCAGCTGGCCGTCGCAAGGCTGCCAACGTGACACTGCTGACTTCGCTAGTGGAAGGTGAGTGAGGCGTGAAGGTGGGCATGGGAGTGAATTCAAGGGAACGTGAGTGGTCTGGTGTGACTGTCTCTAATGCAGGAAGCGTTTTAGTCATGTATGTGTGTATCCGTGCACATGTTGCAGTATCTGTGTGCATACTCTCTGTTAGGTATAAGCTGCGTTTGTGATTTCTGTGTGTAGTCTTTGTGCATGTGTGCATGCATGTGCAATGGAGACCTTCTTTCAGCATGCGTGCATGTGTGCCTATGTGCGTGTGGGTATATGCATGTGTGTGCACACGTGCATGTGTGTGTGCATATGTGTGTGTGTATTTGGGTGTGGGTGTGTGGGCAGGGAGTGGCCAGTGTTTGGATGTGGTAAAGGGATGAAGGGGGTGACAGCTCCCTTCCCTGGAGGTTGGCAGCTCTGGTATACATGGTGGGCTCAGCTCCTATCTCTCTCTGAGCTCAGAGCCCAACCCTGATGGCCCTGAGGGAGGGCTATGGAATAGGGGCTGGAGCTGGAAAGCTAGAGGGGGCATCTACAGAGGAAGAATGGGACAGGATACCCCTGGCCAGGGGGGTCAGAGGTTCAAAGCTGTGTTCCAGGCACAGAGATACACCTGGCAGTAGTGACAGCTCCCCTCCCTCCAGGAGAGGCCGTGCACCTGGCCCGAGACTTCGGTTACGTCTGTGAGACCGAGTTCCCAGCGAAGGCAGCTGCCGAGTACCTGTGCCGCCAGCACGCTGACCCTGGGGAGCTGCACAGCCGCAAGAGCATGCTGCTGGCCGCCAAGTGAGTGAGGGCACCCTGCACGGGCACATGTGGGTGCCATGCACAGGCAGACATCATGTATAGGCACAATGGACACCACTGTGTACATGAGCAGTGAGCACACGCATGTACATGCGGCCCATGTGGCACCACACATGGGCACACCTAGGCTCCCTGCGTAGGCTCTCGTGGCACATGTGTGCATGCCACATGGGCACACTTGGGTTCCACATATGGGTATATTTGCGCATCATGTTTATCACACTCAGACATACATGAACACTCCTAACAAGCACAGGAGCACACATGGACACTACATGTGAACATATTTTGGCTCCTTGCATCAGGAACAGTAGCATCATATACTGGTTCACACAAGGGCACACGTGGGTCCTACACTCACATACACTCCCACGACACCACCAGCCCCAGTCCCCATCGTGGGTCAGAGGCTTCCTCTTCTAGCCTTGCGCATCAACCCTCTGCTCCAGTGACCTCCATCAGGCCACCAGGTCGCACCTGAGTGCTCTGCAAGTCCCATTATGCCTTCCTCACCGCCATTCACATGCTGCCACCTCTACTCAGTTCTCTTCATCTCACTCCCCGAACTTCACCCCAGAGTCTCCCTGTTTCCAATCTCCCTGCACATGCACCGGCTCCTCTGCACAAGAACCTTCAATGGTTCCCGCTGCCAATGCATTGGTTTTCAAACTAGGGCCTGTTTAACAAACTAGTATTCCATTAAGATTTAGTTTCTTTGTTTCTTTGTTTTGAGACAGAGTTTTGCTCTTGCTGCCCAGTCTGGAAAGCAATGGTATGATCTCGGCTTACTACAACTTCCGCCTCCCAGGCTCAAGTGATTCTCCTGCCTCAGCCTCCCAAATAGCCGGGATCACAGGCACCTACCACCACGCCTGGCTACTTTTTTGTATTTTTATTTTATTTTATTTTTTTTTTTGAGACGGAGTTTCGCTCTTGTTACCCAGGCTGGAGTGCAATGGCGCGATCTCGGCTGACCGCTACCTCCGCCTCCTGGGTTCAGGCAATTCTCCTGCCTCAGCCTCCTGAGTAGCTGGGATTACAGGCACGCGCCACCATGCCCAGCTGATTTTTTTGTATTTTTAGTAGAGACAAGGTTTCACCCTGTTGGCCAGGCTGGTCTCGAACTCCTGACCTAACGTGATCCACCTGCCTCGGCCTCCCAAAGTGCTGGGATTACAGGTGTGAGCCACTGCGCCCAGCCCCAAAATTTAGTTTCTCAGGCCAGGTGAGGTGGCTCATGTGTGTAATCCCAGTACAGTGGGAGGCCAAGGTGGGCCGATCGCTTGAGCCCAGGAGTTGGAGACTAGCCTGCGCAACATGGTGAAACCCCGTCTGTACTAAAAATACCACAATTAGCTGGGCATGGTGCTGTGCGCTTGTAGTCCCAGCTACTTGGGAGGCTGAGGTGGGAGAATCACCTGAGCCTGGGAGGTTGAGGCTGCAGTGAGCCACGATCACATCACTGCACTCTAGCCTGGGTGACATAGTGAGACCCCATCTCAAAAAAAGAAAAAACGTAAAAGATTTAGTTCTTCTGAAAGAGTTTTTATCTTAGTCCATTTGGACTGCTATAACCATAAACTGGAAAGCTTATAAACAACAGAAATATTTATTTATTTATTTATTGAGACAGAATCTCGTTCTTTGCCCAGGCTGGAGTGCAATGGTGCAATCTCGGCTCACTGCAACCTCTGGCTCCTAGGTTCAAGCAATTCTCCTGCCTCAGCCTCCCAAGTAGCTGGGATTATGGGTGTCTGCCACCACACGTGGCTAATTTTTGTAGTTTTAGAAGAGACGGGGTTTCACCATGTTGGTCAGGCTGGTCTCGAACTCCTGAACTCAGGTGATCCATCTGCCTTGACCTCCCAAACTGCTGGGATTACAGGTGTGAGCCACCGTGCCAGGCCAACAGAAATTTACTTCTCATAGTGCTGGAGGCTGGGAAGTTCAAGGTCAAGGCAGATTTCATGTCAGGTGAGGGTCTGCTGCCTGGCTCATAGACAGCACCTTGCTGTGTGCCTTACATTGTAGAAGGGAGAAGGGGTTTCTCTCTGGCTTCTTTTATAATAAAGGCATTAATCTCATTCATGATGTTCCACCTCCATGACCTAATCACCTCCCAAAGGCTTCACCTCCTAATATCACCTAGGTGGGTAGGATTTCAACATATGAATTTTGGGGAACATACCCATTCACACCATAGCAGTCCCATAGCAAGAAAAGACAGAGAGAGAGAGGAGGGGGATAGAGAAAGAGAGAGAGGCCGGGTGCAGCAGCTTATGTCTGTAATCCCAGCACTTTGGAAAGCTGAGGTGGTCAGATCTCTTGAGCCCAGGAGTTCAAGGGCAACCTGGGAAACCCCATCTCTACTGAAAAACATTAGCCAGGTATGGTGGTACAGGCCTGTAGTATCAGCTACTCAGGAGGCTGAGGTTGAGGCTGCAGTAAGCTGTGATAGCACCACTGCACTCCAGTCTGGGCGACAGAGCAAGACGTTGTCTGAAAAAAAAAAAAAAAAAAAGAAAAGAAAAGAAAAAAGAGAGAGAGCAATCTGAGAACTACCAATTGGTAGGCTAAAGTTCAGATTCTTCTGAGGTCCCACAGTCTGGCCCATACAAACTCTACCCATTCCTGCCAACTCTGTCCTCATATCCTTGGGCTTGCCTGTCTCCAGCTTAGAACAACGTCCAGTCCTCCCACCTAACGACGTCCTTCAAAATGACAACTCCACCTGCCTGCCTTTGAGGCTTTCCTCAAGTCCCCAAGGCAGAAGAGAAGCACAGACTCCTGGGACTGCCAAATGGAGAGACCTCTGAGGCTGCTTGTACTGTGGCTGGAGAAACATATTTAGGGCGGGGTTCATATTGTTCACTGATCAGCTCACTCATCAAGCACTTTGTGGGTCCCAGTCCTGTCTAAGACTTTCATGTTGACACAAAGATGAATGATGAGGGATTCTCTTGCCTGAGCCACACACAGGACGCACAAAGGAATGAATAATGGCTGCAAACTAGAGCTTGGTTCAAATCCCAGCTCAGTCGCCTTGACAGGTCATCCAACCTGTCTGAAACCAGTTTTCTTGTCTATCTGATGGGGATGATAATAGTATAGATTTGTTATGAAGATTAAGTAAGATGATGCATACCGTGTGGTTGGCACAGCATCCAGGCTTCAATTAATATTCACTGCTAGTTATTATTTCTGGCAGATTCTGGATTGTTTCCTAACAGTTTCAAAGACAAAGTTCTGTGAAGCGTTGGGTGTTTGGGGTGGGAGAGGGAATCAAAGAAAATATCCTGTATAAGGTAGTAAGTAGCTAAGCTGCACTTTTTTTTTTTTTTTTTTTTTTGAGACGGAGTTTCACTCTTGTTGCCCAGGCAGGAGTGCAATGGTGCAATCTCGGCTCACCACAACCTCTGCCTCCTGGGCTCAAGCGATTCTCCTGCCTCAGCCTCCTGAGAAGCTGGGATGTGCTGCCATGCCCAGCCAATTTTGTATTTTTAGTAGAGATGGGGTTTCTCCATGTTGGTCAGGCTGGTCTCAAACTCCGTACCTAAGGTGATCCACCCACCTCTGCCTCCCAAAGTGCTGGGATTACAGGCGTGAGCCACCATGCCTGGCTGAGCAGCACTTTGAATGTGGGCAGGACATCCAAAAAAAAAAGATTATAGGGTAATCGGCATGTGCTGTTTATTAGCTGTTTGATACTGGGCTAGTCAAATGACTTTTCTGAATCTTAGTTTCCTTTTCTGTAAAAACAGTATGATTATCATTTGCAGACTGTTGGGAGGGTCAGCAGTCGTGTAGCTAATGACTATAAAATGCCTGGCACGTAGTAAGTCCTTCTCTGGGCTCAGACTTTTGTCCTCCAACCTCTGACCTTCCTTTCCAACCTTCCTTTCCCAACCAGGCAGATCTGCAAGGAGTTTGCAGACTTGATGGCTCAGGACCGCTCGCCGCTGGGCAACAGCCGCCCAGCACTCATCCTGGAGCCCGGAGTGCAGAGCTGCTTGACACACTTCAGCCTCATCACCCATGGCTTCGGTGGGCCTGCCATCTGTGCTGCCCTCACGGCCTTCCAGAACTACCTGCTGGAGTCACTCAAGGGGCTGGACAAGATGTTTCTAAGCAGTGTGGCCAGTGGGCATGGTGAAACCAAGGCTTCAGAGAAGGACCCCAAGCATCGGAAATAACTCCTTCTCCCAACCCATACCTAAGGGGCTTCCAGGGCCTGAAATGGGGACTTAGCTCCTGGGGGTGGACCTGAAAGGACTGAAAGGTGGGATTCAAGACAGACCAGAAAGAGAACATTCATCTACAGATCCCGGAGTTGGGGATCTGGCTTGGAGTAAGGGAGGTGGCCTCTTTGGTGGTGTCTTGGTAAGTTAAGGGCCCAGGTATTTGTCTCAAGTGTGCAATTTCTGACCTTTGATGGCTGAGAAGGGTTTGGACAGAAAATTGACATGAAAAGGTCTGGCTCATAGGGTACAGCCCTTTCTGTTACAGTGCCTGGGTGGCTGTGGGTGCTTCTAGAGGCCAAAGCCTTTGTGTTTTTCACTGTTGGCAGGAGGGCAATTGTTGATAAATCAGAGGTGCTACTGAGGAGATGGTGCCCCTCATTCCAGAATCTTCTACCCCCAGAAAAGGGGTGCTGGAAGGAGGCCCCAGTGGACTCTTTGTACCCTTCCTACTCTTGGAGAGAAGTGGGCAGGAGGTGCCCTGGAGGAACAAAGAAGATAAAGCACAAACTGCAGAACTCAAATCCATCTAGGCTGCTCATCACAGTCCTGTTGTTGTCTGTCCTATATATTTATGTATGTTGTAATTAAATTTGAAAATTTAAAATGTCTAGTGCAACTTATTTATCCCAATGAGTTGGGGATTCATTTCACTGTTTTCTGGCCATGCACTGACATGTCCAGCTGGACCAGGAGGGAGAGGGTGTTTTTGCTTGAAAAGGGCTGTGGGTGGGTTGGGAGGGAAGAAAGGTGTGTCAGGCGCCCTCAGGTTGTCGCTGGGATCTTGTATTTGTGGTTCTTTTGCCCCTGCAGTTGATGTACCTCCCCATCTCTCATTCTCTTAATAAAACCTTTCATTGGACATGAAGCCCTCCCTGTCCTTCTTTAGCCCAGGCCTGGATTTGCCTCCAAAGACGGCAGTGTCACTGGGGAGAAGTGGGACCTGGGCATTAGACAGGGGGTAGGTTTGGAAGGGGCCCCTAAGGGGATGAGAGGGGACTGGGGGCTCTTCTTTGTGAGAGGAGGTACAGATGTTGGTCTATCTGGCATGTCACTGTAGCTATTAGTTGCTGTGTCTATGTGTGTGTGTCAAGTGAACACTGTATGTGTATTACTGTGACTTGGTGGGCTGGTGGGTACAGGTGTCAGTTTAGCTGTTAGGTGTATGGATTTGTTTCTATGCCCGTTGGTGGTGAATGTGCATGTGTCAGTGGAAACGCTGGTGACTGTATGTGCGTCTATCAGGCCAATGCTCATCCAACTCTTGTCTTCTCGAGGATTTCACTCTTCAGGCATTTTTTTTCCTGTACCATCAGTCTCTCCCTATCTATGGAATGATTACTGGATCATTCCCCAGAGCACAAATGTTCTAGGATCTCTTATCTTACAAAACATAATTCCTTTCCCCATTTCTTTATTTCCTTTGCAGTTAAAGTTCTTGAAAGATTGCTACACCTATGCCTCCATTTCTCCACCTCCAATTTCCTCTTCAATCTGCTTTTTTCCGACCAGTCTACTGAAGTCCACTCAGCATGGTCATCACAATGTCAAATCTCAAGGCTGTCTTCTTCTGGATTTAACAGTAGCAGTCAGTGGATATGGCTGACCATTTGCTGTTTTCTGCAACTGTTTTCTCTGTGGCTCCTAACTTCTGGTTTCCTAGGACCTCACTGGTTCCAGTTCTGTCTTCCTAGCTGGCTACTTCTCTACTTGACTTCTAAATGCTAGCTTTCCTTGGGTCGTTCTCTTTCCATACTGACTCCTTAGATTGGTCTCATTCAATCCCATGTCTTTCAACATCTAAATACTGCCAAGTCCTGAACGTTTATCTTCAGCCCAGGCTGCTCCCTGAACTCCAGACTTGGATGTACAACTGTCTGCCTGATGTCTGCTGGCATCTCAAATTCATGTCCAAAATGGAGTGCATGACTCAAATACTCAAATCGTGACCTCTTCCAGACCGTCCCACCACAGTAGATGGCACCACCTTCTACCCAATTGATCAAGCCAGAAACTAGGGGGTCGTATCTGGTTCTCTCTCTATACTCAATCCTTCAGAAAGACCTGTGGATTCTGAGTGCATCTTCTTTCTTCTCTGCCACCACCCTAGTTCTCTGGACTACTACAGTAGTCTCCCAACTGGTCTATTTTCTCTGGTACACCTTCAAACTCAGGTCTAACAATGATCTGACTGCCTGATTCTCCAGCCTCATCTTAAACTACTCTCTTCAACGCTCACTTTGCTCCAGCCACATGGGTCTCCTTTCTGTTCCTCAAACTAACATTTTGTTTTATGTCTCAGGGCCATTGCATTCACTGTTGTTTGCCTGGATTGCTGTTCCCCATGTCTTTGCAAGTATGCTGTCAAGGATAGATGATGAGGTGCTTTGCAAGTGAAGGTTGTGCTAGAAACATACGGTCTAGGCATCATTTCTCAGGATAAGGGTCCAAAGATGTGACTTCTTTTCCCAAGGAGCTGCAATGCCTCAACTCACCCATATGTGTCCAGTGAAAGCTCTCTGGACACAGTGGGGCCTCCTCTGGGGGCCTGTCCCTCATGCTAAATGCATGGGGACCCTGGACACGTCCTAATCCTGGCCCTGCCACTCACTTGGTGTGCTCCCCTGAGCTTTGGGTCCCCCGGTATGTACCCCACAGCAGGTTGTTAGGGCGTGCTCGATACCTTGAGGCAGCCTCCAGGTGTGGCACTGAAGAATTCTGAATCATGCGGGGAGGAAGTGCTGCCTTTTTCAAGTCCCTTTCAATCAGTCCCTCTGAATACATCAAGAAGAAAGTCTCCACTTGGGGTTGGCATGGCTTTAACACCTAATATTTGCTTTTCCTCATTTTAACAAAGAGGCTCAGTGCCTTTCCCCAAGTATCCCTATCTGGGTTACTTACTCCTTTCTGCAGAAAGGAACAGAAAGGAATGTGGGGGAAGGCTGAAGTATGCTCTGCTTTAACTGAAGCCTAGGGCCTGGCAAGAGACATCCTACTTCTAAAATTGTCTTAGACTATGGGAAGTTGAGAGGATTAAATAAGATATACAGCACTTCTATATAATGCTTGTAATATAGTAACAAATCAATAAAAGGTTATAAATATCCAGAAGAAATTAGTTTATCAAAAACTTTTCAGGGGCTAGACAACTTTTCCTAAGGAAAGGACCATGTAGTCCTCACCAAATCCTATTTTACAAACAAGAAAGTGGTAGATCAAAGCAACTTTCCCAAGGTCACTAAGCAAGTGAGTGGGACTCACGCATCTGTGTGTGATCTGACCCTCCCTTCATTTCCACTGCATCACATGGCCATCTACAGAAGGGCTCACAGGCCTGACCCCAGCAAGGGGAAACAGGTCTTCCCAGCCTTTTGTGCCCCGAGACGCTGCTAAGCCAGCATATGGTCAGGATCATTAACAGTGCAGAAGCAGTATGGTATGGACACTGTCTAAGTGGCATTAGAAGCTTCTAATGAGGTCTCAGCACTTGATTCTTCCCATTAAGTTGTTTTTCTTTATCCCACAGCAAAATAAATCATATTTTAGCCTCTAACTGGGTTTAGCCCTAAGGAAAAGTAGATGATGATTAAAGTATACACGAGGGCTGGGTACAGTGGCTCACGCCTGTAATCTCAGCACTTTGGGAGCCAAGGCAGACAGATCATTTGAGGTAAGGAGTTCAAGACCATCCTGTCCAACATAGTGAAACCCTGTCTCTATAAAAATATAATTAAAAATTAAAAAATAAAAATGAAACATACACATATTGTTTTACATGGCTTCTTTTTTGCAAAGCAAGTAGCTGCAAATTAAATGGAGAGTGTTTAGACTTGGTAAGCATTCCAATTTGGAGTTTAAAGAAAAGGCTTTCCTACTTTAAGGATCATAGTGTTCCAGAAGAAATATGAAAAGTGCAGTCTTTAAAAACATTCCCTCCCGTGAAGGAAGGTAAGTGACGGCAAGTTGCAGGCTTCTCCTTCCGAACACACTAACTCATAATTCACACACTGGAGTAAGCAAGCAGCAGCACACACTTACTGAGAACCCAAGAATGCGCCTCTTTCTCTTGCTTGGGCACTGCTGCTGCTCTGGTCAAAAGGCCGAGGGGAGCAGAAGTGAAAGGACTCTGGGCTTCAGGCAGGGCAGGCCCAGAGTGGTTGCTCAGCTAGCAACACCAAGAAGCTCTTGGGACATTTCAGTGGCCTTTTCCATCTCTCAAAGGTTCCTGCCTTCCCATCCGCTCTCTGGTTGGGCTGAGCTGCTGAGCCTCCCTACCCTGAGGCGAAACAGCTGCTCTCTTCTCCAACCTATCCCACTCCCACCATGAGCCAGGGAAGGAATAATTTGTTTTTCTGTGTATTAATCACCTGAAAGCAGATGGGAGCTAATCAGAACTCCTTTCCGAACAGCGTTTGGCCAGGAGTGTTACAGAATGGGTACATTCCCAGTGTTTTTCAAACTTCAGGAAATTGATTTAGGACAAAGCTGGCATTTTAAAAACCAAAATCCAGCAGAAAAAAACAGAAGTTACCAGAACACACTACATTATGACTTCACACACACTCCTCTGTAAGAAAAGTTCCACAAAGTAATGCTTACCCTTCTTATAGTAGGTATACATAAGTGTGAAGTCACAAATGAATGACTGAAACCATGTAAATGTATTTGGAACACAGGCTTTATGAGGTGTAAAAGAGAGAAAGGAAAATGGGGAGTAAGGTTAGGAGAGCATTATGGAATGCCTAGCAGGTCAAACCAAAGAATCGGGCTTTATTCTCTTAAGCCATGGAAAACCACCAGAAAGTTTTAAGGGCAGAGAGGAATGGATGGTGAAACTAATTTTTTAAAGTATGGATGAAGACCCGAAGAGGGAAGAGATTAAAAGTAGAGTCAAGTTAAGAGGCTGTTAAATAGCCTAAGAAATGACAGGGGGTGAATCAGAATAATGGGGATGGAGATTTAAAGAGATTTAGGCCAGGTGCAGTGACTCACACCTATAATCCTGGTGCTTTGGCAGACCAAGGTGGGAGAATCACTTGAGGCCAGGAGTTCGAGACCAGCCTAGGTAACATAGCGAGACCCCGTCTCTACAAAAATTTTTTACAAAATTAGCTGGGTATGGTGATGCACACCTACAGTCCCAGCTAGCTGAAAGGCTGAGGTGAGAGGTTCACTTGAGCCCAGGAGTTCAAGGCTGCAGTAAGCTATGATCATGCCACTGCATTCCAGCCTGGGAGCTGGATCCTGTCTCTGAAAAACAACAACAAAAATTAAAAATTTAGGATATAGAAATGCCAGAATTTGGTGACCACATACAGATAGGAGGTAATGAATGATATAAAAATGATGCCCAGCTAAATGCAATGTTGTATCTTGAATTATATCCTAGAACAGAAGAATAAAATTAGTGGAAAAACTGGTAAAATCTGAATAGAGCCTGGATAGTAATACTAATATACCAACCAATGTTGGTTTCTCAGTTTTGACAAATATACCATGGTATATACAAGATGTTAATATTACAGAAACTGAATAAGGGGTATAAGGACACTCTGTATTATCTTTGCAACTTTTCTTATTCCAGAATAAAATGTTTATTAAAAATAA